TTTCATTCCTCCATGGTCCAATGTTCACGCCACGGTCGCTTACTTTCAATTAAATAAGCCCTTATGGGCCTCAACCAGAATGGGGCTGGCTCCTCCAGCCTCACCACAGTTCAAAGATACAGTCCCTAGAGGTATTTCTGAATCCCACCCACACACACAGACACACACACACACACACACACACACCCCCCCCACACACACACAAACACACACACACACACACACACACACACACACACACACACACACAAACACCCACACAAAGTTAGTTCAAAAATGGGAACTGCTTTGTATCACTGCATACTGTATAGCTGTGTGTTTGTGCGACTTACATTTGGGTTGACTTTGGGGTGGCACACAGCGAAGGGACCCTTTTTGTCCAGCAGGATGCCACAGTATCCAGAGCTCTCATACAGTTCCTGCTCTCCTTCCTCACACTCGGGGATGGTGGTGTTGGGTTGCTTGTTACACCTGTCAACACATATAGCCAGTTTGAGAAGCTGTGTGTGTTGGTGTTAGTTAGTTTTTGTCCCGTAATAATTCTAACAAAGAGGTGATCAATGAGTAGCCATCTCTTTAGTAGATACCTAACTCATTCAATATTATTTATATCAAAACGGCATTTAAAAGAAAATAATGTATAATAAACATAATGCTACTCACTCGGGATCAGTGTTCCAGCTGTGTCCAAAGTCATTAGCACTGTTGGTCAATGATCCATCTGGTTTACGGAAGTCATCTTCCGCGTATCCATCGTAATCTCCACACAGTCCACACAATTTGTTCTTGTAGCTGCAAGAAAATCTGCAAGTTAGTTATTGGTGAAGGGGAACAATTAAGTGCAAAAGTTCTTTTTACTGATTATCAGACTTTATTGTCAATATCACGTCACTTGTCCGTGACGTTGAGAAAAAATGTTAACGTCAGGCTTTATTTACTCTTTGATCACTTTGATGTCCATGAAGTGGTTTCCATCATAACGAACTGTCACACCAAAGTCCATGGACACAGTGTAGTGCTTTCCCGACTTGAACACAGAGACCCCAGAGGCCGGCGTAATTGGCAGGTTTACATTAGTCCCATTCACCTGTGCGGGAGAAGTAGGTCCAATAAAGACAATAAATGGTGACGGAGGAAACAGAAACAGTAAATGATAGAAAAAACTTGAAAGCTAAAAGTTAATATTAGCAATTAATTAATAAAAGCAAAAGTTGTATTGTCTGCATGAAATTCTTATTATTTCCATTATTTCAGGATGTTCTGGTAAAAATACCATACATTTGAAAATAGTACCATTGTTTTCACGCTGTGGTTGCTGTGGAATTAGATTGCATTCTCAACAGCATTCTCAACAACATTTTTAACGATGTTAAGACGTATTTGAACGGATTATGTTTACAGTTTTAGGAGCCCGGGCTGCACACTGTCTTTCCCCCCCCCCCACGTTTATTACCTGAACAGTTCCCCCTTTGAGAATGGAGATCTTCACCGTGTGAACATATACATGCACGGCTTTCACATAGGAGATGGTGGGACGGTTAAACCGATTTTCATTGTCCGCATGGACCTCAAAGTGTGGAAGAGTTGTTTCATTGCAGGGTCGAGACATCAAGTAGCTACAATTGCCCATGAAGTTGTAGTTGCGTTTGTCAAAAGTCGTGTAGTGGGGATCACCACTCGCTATGCACGTGGACGTATCTACGGTATGAAAAAACTGTATGTTAGCAGTTATTTTGTTCATGCTAAATTGTGAAAAAAACTAGTACGAGTAGAGAAGCGTGATAACGTCTACAAGCTGACTCAGAGTAATATCAGTTACGCAGCTTTCTAACATTAGTAAGAATAATCCAGCAGAGATTCACCAGAACTAGTATAGCCAATTTCAGATTGTTTGACCGACTGCACGTCATAGTGTACGTAACAGTTTTTGGACAACTGCAAGCAGCAATTAATATGGCAATTCCTCGACAATTTAACAGATACCATTACCTTTAGGATAGCAACCTGCAACACCATTAACATCGCGACATTCTTCTGTGGGGTCACATGAGTTGTCAACACATTCCAAAGTGTAGTTCCCAGCACAGCGACATAGCTTTGAGCAGCCATCTCCAAATATAATCTCGCCAGGCTAAAACAGAATTGGCATAGGGATCAACCAAGAGCACCGTTTGTCACTAGACCTATATAGAACAACCT